ATGACATCTTAGTTCACGTGTATGCTAGTGTTCTGCATTGAAATTGTAGATTATCAGTTACGTGCTTGCACGTATAGTCCCCAAAATATACTCCAGTATTGTTTTTATACAGTTGTCTACAGTCTCGTATTCTTCCCATAGAATACAAGGCGAAATATGGTATTATGAGGTGCGAAGTGGTAATTTCTTGATAATCTGAGGGCAGTTCACATAGGTTGTAATACTACGAGTACCCTATTGTGCGCATCGCTTTCAAAGCACAAAAAAAGTATTTGCATAGTTCGTCCCAACTAATTCCAACGAAACTAATTCCACAATAATGCAAATATTTGCAATCTATAGCGCGTTGCTCTCACTTGCAAAGAACACTAAAAAACTTACACCAGAAACTTTACTTAGGTAGCACTACGTAGCGACTACACTCAATTAATTAGGCGCGCACAGTGATCTACGCTGGTTTCCTTGCTAGAGCTAGAATAGCAAAAGAGAATTACAATAACACTATTCGAAGAGTGGCTCAGAACTCCACTCTTCAAGAAGGGGCTCAGCTCAATCGACATAAGAAACTTTCTTCTGCATGGAAGTGAGCCCCCGTCTTTGCAAAGACTAAGTCAAAAATAAACTTTGCTTCCTATGGCTTAATAACTAACCAATCCGCAAGAGCAATTTTGAGGCTCATTTTCCGTCCCTAAACATGATTTGTCGTTCTGGTTATAGTCGATATTTGTAGAAACATAGCATAAATGAACGTTAACTGCACAGTTTTGAGTAAGGTTCAACGACAAGAAAAAATAATTCAACGAGGTTACATTATGGTACGTTGCTAACAACGCCGACCTCGAATCTGAGAGATGCTACAGTTAAACTACTGGAAATGAATGCCTGACATTTTGTTGTATATGTATAAGCATATGTATCAAGCTGTATCAGGTTGAGTAAATGGGTGTCTACAAATAAAGTGTTCAGCTGGTTTTCTCTCTTTTCCCTTGTAGCAGCTTTATAACATGTAGTTATATTTGTCGACCAAACCTGTCCATATTTTTTATTTTTATATATAGTTTTCACAAGCCGATGTACCGAACACATTATACATGGTTTGGCTGAACAATCACGCGTTCTGTGGTGAACATTCAAGTGACTGTGTATGTTTTTTATTTCCTATAATAGCTAAAAGATTAAGCTGCAACTACGTATCGTTAAATCATAAACAGTTCTTTAGGAAATATATGCGGGTAAATCATACAAGTTTGTCAAGAAAAAAAGCGAAATAAAAAAAGGAACCCCATGCTACTTTCAAACAAGTGATGACTACTTGCACGGCAATGACTAATTTCAACTGTAACATCATCATGACAGAACAATATATATATTCTAGTATTACATATAACACATTCCTATTTGGAAATTCTCTTTGCATACGACCAACTGCTAACCTATTAGTCAAGTTACTTCTCCAGTACAATAACCCTGCTTTTTCTTCATGTACATTAAGAAAGTAATTTCGCAAGTGTTCATAAATATATCATGGTTTCATCTTCACTCAAGGGAAAACCTAGGCATATAGCAAAATTTCTATAGGACATCATGATGAACATTTACACGTATGGAAATTTGTCACTGTTCTTGATGGTAACGAAAAATGCGCTTTGAATAGAAACCGTAAGTCACTTTAATAAGAGCTAAACACTAGAGGATAGATCAGGTTCAGCTTTTAGCTAATGAAAAACCTTTTTTTTAAATACCATATGAACAAATTCGGCAACGGCTACCAAGGAGGATAAAAAAAAAAAGAACTGGTGCACGGTTACATTGTGCTGCGGTTTCACGGAGACACCAAACTACAATTTATATGTGCAAGCTTAAATCCTAATTCTAAATGCAGATCCGGAATTTAATCAATTAGAATTGAGACATATAGCTCATAGTTCATATCAGACAGCCTGCTTCCCCTGCATGAAAGATAATCCGTGCTGAGATAGGCACCCAAGCCATACACCGAAAGTATACGGCGAAAGCGCACATCCTATATACAAGGGATGTTTTCCAGAGAAGAGGTTTTTTCTAGTTACAAAAAGGTCGGATAGCATCAAGATAATGAAACTACATCGCGATGAATTGTTTCATACAACACAGCTTCCGAACACTTTGAATTCCCACCTCAACATGGAAATATGCTCACAAATTGATACGTGACATTACTAAAATGCATTTAAGAGAAAATACAAAAAATATTGTAAAGTAGATAAAATCGAACAGTACCGCAATCGGTACATAGGATCATATCAAACAATTGTCGAAATGTAAAACTTTTGGATCCATGATCGATATCTTCCCGTTGAACGATTACATTTACGTCTATCGCAAGAACAGTATGTTTTTCAAAAAGTACTTCTATACAACTACCAGGAAATATAGAAAAACTAACAATATTATGGCATTCATTGCTCTTTGTAATCATAGTGAATTCGCGAAAACACTACTCTACGCCAATGGACCTTATCTCTATAACTAGGCTAATAACAAAAAGCAAAAGGAAAATGGGCCTAGAAGTTCCAAATTTTCGACCCTATTAGCAAAAAAAAGCTTTCGTGTCTCTACAAATTAAATCCACGTTGGAAGAAATCTGCTATTTGAAATTATTACTTCATACCCAAATTTATATTGTCCGATTTACTAAAACGCATGAAGGTATCTACCTTGCGGCATTCAAAGGAGCTTGCTTAATCAATAAACTATTTTTTGACGATTGTTGGCAGAGGACTATAGAGTACGCCCAACAAACCTAAATGCCTCTGGAAATTTGTGATCTTTATGGTGCTTATGTTAATAGTAATAGCAGTCGCCATCGAAAAACCGCAAACCATGAAAGTTTTTCAAGAATATAATGGCACAAAACTGCTACCGTGAAAACTGGTTGTCGAGGAACAACTTGACTCCTACTGGCGCTATATTTTGGTGTGAAATTGGTGAAAACCCATTTGAGGGTTTGTCTCGCTCAAGTTACAGTGAAGTTAAAATGTGTTTTGAGCTACTTTTTAGACTGCTTTTTTGAGTAGTTTTTAGAAAAAATACCACGATCGAAAAGTTTTTTCTACGCAAAGTACCACTTGGTCTCTGTTAATGATTTAAACCAGTAAGTATATCTTAGCGAGCTGAATAAAAGTATAATTGTCTTATATTTGAAATAGATGTTTGAAGGAAACGGGCTAAAAACAATTGTGGTAAAACAATTTTGCATTTAAGTGACATTGGGGTAAAAATGTTTAACAGGGAAGTCTATGTAGGAGCTATTTATTCGCAAGCCACGGACTTTAGCACACTGAATAAAAATGCGATACATATTTATATTTAAAAAAAAAAAAAAAAATTGACTGAAAGTTGTAAAAACTCTATTTATCGTATCAGTTTACCTATGTAAAATTGGCGTGAAAATGCGTTCCTTGCGGTCTTTTGAACAAATTTTTAATACATATTAAATTAAATTGGTATATATAGACTTCACTTTTTTAGTTCAGGGAAAATTACCAAAATAAAATTTTTTAAATTTTGGTGACATTTCAGAAACAGAATCTCTATGCTATCTAATATATGTAACTATTTATTTACAAAAAAATGTTAAAAAATTAAAAAAATTCGTAAGTCTTAGTGATGTCCTAGAAGCAGAGCCAAACATAAACTGAAACCGTAATGACATGTTATCATATCTTCAAATCAGAACAAAAAAAGAAATATAAAAATTCTTAGGGGGGAATTTCCTTTGTTTCCATACCGTTTTCCCCACTCTCACACCAAAACGCAGACAAAGAAAGAAATAACGACTACTTTGTTACGGTTCAGCAACATATCCCTACAGAATATAGCTTTCTAATAATAACGTATGTAGTTAGGAAGCTTTCCTTTAAAACAATTCGTTAAACATATGTTTACTTCTTTACTAACCGTAAACGTATTTTTTCCCAACCATGCACTAAAATCTCATCAGTCCCTCTATTTCGGTGAATTACATTATTACTGTGAATTTCTTTCGGATTGTTGTTGAACAGGTCAATCAACGTCATGAGGCCGTAGTAATGTTTGCCGTTATTGTGATTCCTTGTGTCAGCAAAATATACAATCACGAAACAAAAATCGATTACTTCCGAGTTATGGGCTTCCTTTAAGGTCTCCTACGTCCATGATGAAGTTCAGTTTTTAAATAAAGAAACCTGTTTTCTCTTTCATTGATGTTTAGAAGCTGGACGTCACTGGTTAGTGGTACAACATTAATTGGCAGGGAAATCATTCCCATCAAGCTCATCCATGATTTTAAACTGACATGACCATAATACAGAATACAGCACGAATAAGAATTATTTTTTTGCTAAATATATAGACACAGTAATAGTGATTTTTATAAACGATTATCATTTAGCGGCCGAGTTGTTGTTGCTAATGTTTTAAAATTATTATTTCCGAAGGTCTTAATTATTCGCATTTTAATCAAGGAAACCCAGTCAACTTTCTCGGTAAACATTTGACTGGATTACTTTTGATTTGCTAAATGAACCTTTACGCTAGTAGCAGATTTATGACTATTGTCTAACACAAGATTACTTTCTCATATCAAAGTTGCATAGAAACAATAATTAAAAAACGTTCGTTGAAGCTCTATCTAAAAATAGTGCTGCTCAAAATTTGTACACAACACATTAATCACAATAATGGTGAACTAAACTTAATAGGTAAACACAAGCTTTACTGGAATAAAAAAGCAAATCGTATATTAATCCAAGTCTACACAGAAATAGAATGTGTAAAGGCATCATGACAAATATGAGATTGTATTACCATCACGATATGAGCGCCTAAAAGTCGGTTGATAGATCCCTTTTCATTGAGGCAGCACGTTGAGGTTCACCAAAACAATCGTCCGCATGTCACGTTATTTATCAATATTTTGGTTCATTCGCGTCCAACGTGAGCGCTAACTCTGTAAACAGTGGGCCATAAAGCAGGTCGTCTTAAAAAATGTAGGATCAGGTCGTCCTCACCATTCCGCATAATGGAGCCTTTCTGTATCATTTGTCATCCAAATAGTGATAGTGGCTACTGAAGCGATTCTTTAAAAATAGACGTAGCGACAATCCTTAAAAAAATCTTCGATCTTTAAAAGACATCGCGATAATCAGGTAGGTCACTACCACTCGACCCATAGCCATTTCAACCCTTAACTTTTTATCTTTTACTGCGCTACAACACGCTACAATTTGACCTAATGTAATAATTATATGAAGGCTTCATCTTATATTTTCGTTTAATATTTTTTAGCATGATCGTTTGTTTAGTAAATAGGCCTCCAGTCGATGCCGCGTGGGCTCAGATACAACATCATCATCATATTACTCGATATTACTGTGCGCGATTTCAATTCTAGTATTTTATTATTATTATACGTTGCTAAGCTTTGCTTTGTGTCATCTATTTCCGGCATCTAGGTTCTTTATTGACAGCAAATGCTTCTTCATATACGGTGATCAATTCTATTTTAAGATCGATATATTTTATTATGATGTGTTCTATTCCTTATCTGAGAAGAACGAAAAAATGTACTTTATTCATGTTTTGAGATATATTACTAGAACGCGAATCTAAATGCAAAAGCCTTCACGAATTATTAGCTGGAGATATCTGCTTTTGCACCACACCAAGTGATTAGATTAGCGCTGGTCAATGACTTTCAATTACATTGTGTTCATATTTCAGTTCGAATTGGTAAAACATACCCGAATTCTTCTTCAATTTAATAAGAGTTTTGATATAACACTAGTTAAAAATATTCCTGTACTCAATTACACCTCAGTTGGCCACCTTTATATGTTACCTGACTGAAATATTTCTTGCTGTATTGTGCTTTGATACAATTCGTCATGCATTGTACCTGTTGTACGTTGCAATAGTAGTTTTTCTGCCTTTTCAATAGACTAAGCTACTTAACTGAATTTATTTACGCTTGAGCAAACAGCATTCCGCTATGTATAAACGCGCTACGTATGAACAAATTACTGATATGTCCCGTCAGTTTCAAGCAGCCTAGCAAGTTTTAGACAAACACAGACGCAGCTTCTAGCGTTTTCATATCGTTCCAGCCGGATCTACGAGCCGCATTACTGCGGCAGTCGGTAATTTTGGCTTACATGATTGGCTTCGTCTACATGTCTACTTGCGATTTCTCCAAGGTTCCTTATCGAGCTGTATCGCTTCGGGCATGAAGATTCATTCTTCTGTTCTTAGTTGTGAAACTTTTTAATGTTTATTTCTTTTTGACGAAGTTTTGATATATTAGCAGAGTGTAAGCCGGGCTGTCGATCTTTCTTCGCCGATAAGACTGGCGACGTTCTAACGAAGCCCTGGACCATGATCAGACAGTATAAAATGTTAACTTTTGAGTCAACAAGCGATGCTGAAAGTCGTATCGTCGAAATGATACAATGGTTTCTGTACTCTTACGACTAGGCTAGCTAAGGAAATAGCTCTTCATCTACCCGGTCAGTTGAATATAATGCTGGTCATAACCTTCAGTATCTGTGCAGAGCATTTATCTGGAAATTGTCTCTGTTTATCACTGTTAAAGTGGGAGCCTGCCCGCTGCGTATTAGCTGCTGTCGCCGCTATTCAAATTATTCAATTTTCGCTTTCCCGATAAGCCCTGTGCTGCTGGTTCCTTCAATTACTGTGAAATTAAAGGCACCAGAACGGGCCAATTGGCAGTTGTCTTGGGCGTCAATATTAGCGCGAAGCTCTTCCTAAATTCTTTGTCGATCTTCTGGCTTTTACATTTTCAAGCCTTGAGGCTTTCTTAGTATTTTGTACGCCTCCTTAACACCTTTATACTGGGTGCATGCCATAGTGCTGACGGCATGGTGATCTCTGCCGCACGAGTAATACTATGGTAACTCGCTTGCATACTTTTCACAAAACGGCCCTCTTTGTCGCATCGGTAGAATTCTCCTTGGAAAACCTTGCCACGTTGTGTCACTGCTCTCCGATTCGCAGCATTTTTCAAATACTTTAGACGGCAACGTAGCTAAGGGCAACGTAGATCGATCCACCTCGTCATCCTTCATCTCCTCCAGTCTAATTATTGTTTCCTTAAACATCTAAACTTAAAAGAGAAGTGTACGCACATAATGAGGATATGTATGAACTTTCACTTTTTCTCATTGGTTTTCACCCATTTATCTGACGAACAAATCGTTTGAATGTTTTGTCAAATCACTTTCCTCTCTAAAGCAATTGCTTTCTTACACTTTCCGATTAGAAGTTTTCTATGAAAGAATGACCTGTGGTTTGGCTAGAGAAAAAATCTATTTTCCGCCTTGTCTCAGACTCGAAACATTTGTATCCTCCACAACGTCTTGGTATGATCGCATCAGATACACGATGGTAATTAGCCAGATACGGAAAAGCTGGTAAAAGAAAAAATTCTGAGCGGTCTTTTTAAAAAAAATTGGCAGTGGTACTCATAGAGAGAGGGGTTCACCTTGAAATCCGAAGTAGACTGCAACCAGAGGCAAAACTAATTTGTTCGACGGTATAACGCAATAGACAGTGCTGCTTTTGCATGAAGTCTTCCTTCAAGCTCCGTCATTCTTGGTGATCTTTAAAGCTTTCAACATCATATGTCCTTACACATTAATGTACAATACAATATACGATAGCTCTCTGGGCAAAGATCCCCATCCTGAATCTCATTTTAAATACCGTAATCACTCGAAAAGAAATTAAGATCTCTTTAATGAAGAACGAAGAAGACATATACAATGTGGTGTATTCAAAATAAGGAACACTTTGATAAGCTGTTTATCGTAGCAGTCATGTGTTTACCCACTACTCCTTATACCACAAGAAGGCCAATTTCTTCAGAACAAAATACCAAGTCTATCATGACGAACAACATACTCGAAATTTACGATTTACATTATTCCCAATTTTAATGCGGCTTTCCGAAAAATCAGAGGTAGATTCTTACGAGGCAGAGTGGCAGATCCTCAATAGCATTCACACCTTAAGCGCTTAAGAAGCTTACACAATTTTTAATACATTTAGGTCCCTTGACACGGAAAGTATGGCTGTTTTAGAGAGGACGACATAAAAAGACGAACGTTTGGATAACCTTCAAATATTCATTTTTTTTAAATCTTTTTCAACCTTTTGAATCTCTTGGCCGTTTCGAGTTTTTGCATTTTTAGCACTTTTGGCCTGTTATGGACTTAAAGTTTAATTCCATTAGAGTTCTTTTTATATAGTGTATTTGAACGATACTTCAACGTATTTACTCCTACCAGTATCGTTTGACGCACGGTTATTGTCAAAAATTTGTTTGCAGAATAAGTCAAGAACATTTTACGGTTAGTGAATAGTGTAGGTCTTGAGTAGAAATTGTAATCGGCGGGTAATGGTTATATTAAATAAGGATGACCTTGAAGAATGACGGAAATGTTATTGAAATATCTGTTTCTGCTTAGATACAGACTTAGAAGTTGGAGTAAAGAAAAAAATTTCAATTTAAACGTGCCACCCTTTATATATACATCTCTTTACTACCGACTCTTAAGACTTGTATTACTAACTCTAAAAATAAGTACATATTCACGACGTTATTCATTAGACTGGCATCATAATGTATACTCAATATACGTAAAAAAACTATTCGCTTTTTTCAGTACAGCGACTCTAGTTATGTAATTTTATATTTTCTATAAGTGTAACGCAGGACGGGCTGTGGCATTTCCGTTCTGAAGCTTAAGGAACACACTCTTTGACACTTCTGGAATATTTTGAATATTTCGGAGAATTTGGGGATTTATTGCTTACTTGTGCTTTTTGTTTAAGGTCCGGTCGGTTTAATAATTACATACTCAAAATTCGTGAAAGGGCTACCTGCTGATTATAAACGCACAGAAATATCTTTTTGGTTTTCATTAATGTGCTCGAACCATTCGAGAAATCCACAGGCGAAAAGCGAGTGAAACAATACAATGGAAAGGGCTTTGTCAGTTCACTTACTTCATGAGCTTATCAACCTAATGAAGACATACATCCTACGGCTTGAAGTCTTCGAAAGAACTTTTCATTATTCCGGTGAAAAAATGGCGCTCTCCATTATGTAAGTAGAAACAGAGGAGGACAACATTATTAGCGACGTTTTTCATAATACATAGCATAATTTATTCATTGAAGCACATCTGATTAGTCGTTGTTGGTTCAATTGTGGTGTGTAAGCAGCATTAAATTTTTTTAAATCAAAGGCTTGGCCTCAGCCAAAAAGCTTACTTCCGTATTTTTGTAAAGAAACATTTTGATTTGTTTGAAATTTGGACTACATACGTAACAACAAAATGTACAAAGCCACAAAAATTGACGCATTTTTACATCATAAGACCTCGTAAAAGTAGGTTTCCATTGAAGAACACAATTAACACGGACACTTGTTACAGTTGGAAAAGGAGGGCCTATCGCTGGGTAATACATATATGTTCTGACACCTTTTTTCTAACGGAGAGCTTATCTAGCTATAGGTATACGTTTCGTTCGACTACAAACCTTTTTTATTTCACCCTATATAAGTCGCCTTGTTTGAGCAATTTCTGCTTCGGTTTTTCGTAAATTTTTTCCTACAGTCTACGTATATTAGGAAAAGGATATAGTGCACCAGATAGTGCACCATTACAAAGCTCAAACTCTGAGTTACTCAACTTCGGTCTCTCTATGCAAGAAGATCACACTTTGAGGTTCCACAACTTGTTTCGCGCGAACATCTTCGGCATTTGATAGCCTAACAAGCGCATCTCTCAATATATTTCACATTATACCCAATTGCATACATCTTTAAGTGCTTATAGCGTAACTCATAAAAGTTTTGCTTGAAAAATTCCGATCTTGCACTCTGTGGTTTACCCTAGTTTCGATCCGTACGTACTCCCGAGTGACACGAATTTATACTTTACTCACAGTCGAAAGGTGTTCATATATACTGACTAACTAATAAAGTTAACCTATGCCGATTCCGGTTTGTATAGTGCCGACGGGTGTCTCCCACACAGTGTGTTGATACGGCATGCTACTATTCGACAGCTCCAATATATTTAGTAATGATAGCTGGTAGCACGTTAAACGCTAGTAAAGAAATATAGCAATGCATGGAAGATGTTAAAATGTGTTTGCCAGGCTCCGCAAGTTAAAGGTATTGGGAAGACCGCTACTTTAACCTCGCACAACATATGAAAGGAGGAGATTCTATCAATAGTATAATAAAAAAAAATAAGATTTTCCAACGGTAGAATGAATTCTTTAACTAAAAGGAAAATTTTTCAAAATGAATGGATTTCTGCATTAATCGCATTGAATACACATTGGCTTTTTGTTAATTTCTCGTTGTTATTAGCTAGTTCCCTAGTGAGTCTGTAGCTCTAACTTCAAGCAAATTGAAACACACTTATCTGCCTTTTAACAAAAGCAAGAAAAGATTTTTCAATTACCACTCCATTGCTATATTTTTATATACTATAGACTAATGTGTACATCTGCCCAAAAGAGAAACGATATTTTCTTTAGTCTGTAAATTCGTAATACAACATAGTTTTGTCAATCTCCCGTCCATCAGTTTAGTTAATAATGATTCTAGATTCTAAGAGGTATTTTTTGATAGGAAAAACCTAACGGCTATTCGTCTGGCGAATGAACAAGGGTTAGCAAAATTGCAGACTGGACTAGCAAAGGAAGACAGGTTGGTTTTTTTTTTTACATTTTTATAAAAAAATCCGACCATGAATTTTTAATATCTCGAGTTCATTTACTTAGACTAAGACCACAAATTAGGTAAAATAATCGCGCTTTTCGCATGTGGCTTTTTGTAAAGCATGTGCTTTCGGAAATCTAGAACCTCCATTTTTTGTGACAAAAGGTCGGCATTGGAGTTATTATTGTTACCGCAACTACCTCCATACGTACCATGACTGACCAACAATATGTTTAAATGAGAAATGTGTGAACTCAAAATAATATAGGAAGTATTTGTTCGTGACTCGTACAGTACACTAAAGAACTAATAAGTAAAACAATAAACCAATACAATCCCATAACCATAATTACTGACACTTAATAACTAAAATAGACACATTTATATGTAATTTTGCATCTTTATAAAATAATGGTAAAAGAGCACGATTTGGGTGCGGCTTATTAATTAATAAAATTCGCTGATAATAATGGAACAATCCATTACATTGAGCTTAATGCTTCAGAGCTTTCCGTTTTCAATTGCAGAACACAATGTGAAGAATTCACTTTTCTCTTATCCGTGTGGAAAACAGAAAGGATGAAGATTCTTTACTCGGTAGCACTACAACATATGCAGGAAGGTTCTACTTTATGTCTGGGCTGGAAGAATAGACCAGACGTATTACAAACCATGGCCCAACACAACGTAAACATCATGGCACGTATTCTGCATACATTCCAATATAAGGTATATGCTATATAGCACAGTTCTTAGTTTAGAAAGGATACGAAGACCTGAGCCGGTATAGGTCGTGACGTAGTTTTCTACCTTTTGTAGAGTATTGTGTAACTACACGCACATACATATACAAATAGTACGCGTGTGGACAATGTACGTATGACAAGGTTCTTCTAGTACGAATTTTGTCATAAGATAATAGAATATAAAGTATACGTACGGCTTAGATAATTTCGTAATGGTTAATACTTTTATCACGGTTGCCATGTATTGCAATTTGTCGTAGCTCATTCCAGAAGTGGACGCCGAAATATGGTTAAAGTTATGCTTCTTTTACATAGGTCACATTGAGAATCTAAGAAGACCAATTCTCTAAGGGAAATTAAGTATCAAAGTTAAATCGAAAGATAACGAATAACTATTATTATTATATAACTTTCACCATTTGTCCAGTATAACATATATAAAACGATAATAAACTTAGCATGCGACTTGTATAATGGCAATTAAGAAGACTGCGAGTGTAAAATGGCATACAGTCCATTCTGTGAAAGCCATTCTATAACGAAGTTTGATGAAAACGGTAATTTATTTAAATACAATTTAAAAAGTAAAAACGTACTAAAACATGAATGCGTGGAATTATTCATGAGCACGCTAATGGACTAAGGGAAGGAATAGCAGGACATTTGGTATGATATCGACCGCAGGGTTCTTCGCAGCGATATTCTTTTATTGAGTTGGAGTAAGCGGGCGTCTTACGGGCAGCATTATGAAATACGTGAATTGTGTATAAAGTCATGACCCGTCGATTTTTTCTTCTATTTTCTGTCTCTCCAAACGGGATCGTTATAATCTAGCAGATCAATCAGAGACGTGAAATCGCTCGACGAGCTTAAGGTAAGACACCACGAAGTGATTCATTCTCCGTGAAATGCTCCCATATGAACGACAGTTCATACAGCGCACAAACTACGGCTTTTAAAACAGAAAGGGTCAGCAATGTCTTTAAAGAGCGGTTCTAAACCAGTCGTTGTGACGGCCAACAGACGCTTCACTGCATTCAAGTAATATGCTCAACAAAAAATAGTTTATTTGGTGTCAAAGTGCGTCCCGAATATGTAAAGTGAGAATGATGTACCACGATGCTGAGCTGAAAGTAATATGGTCATAATTTTTTTTACCTGAGTTTTCTAAATTTTCATTTGGAGTCCGGGTTTATAATTGACTGGAGTTGGTGCCAGCTTACACTAAATAACAAAAATCGTCGGCATACAGAAAAAGAAAGGGTGCCGCTTCTTGATTTTGCTAGCAGATCGTTAATGACTATTAAAAACAGACCGTTATCTTAGGACGCTCTCAGATTATTGCCTGAAGCCACCCTTGTAAGATAATATACAGTCCATTCTATACAAACTATTTTATGACGTTATTAGTTTGGTAAGATAAGTTTGCCCAGCAATCCCCGCATCCAAAATTGCTTCAGTTATCTAGAGGACATTCGAAAGTCAATAAATACTGCAAACAGGACATATAATTACATAACTACTGCGGACCACAGAAGATGCGCTAAATATATTTCAAGAGAATGGCAATCGCACAGTAAGTAGCTATATTTTTCAAGAATAATAATATGCGTTTCAAAATACCGCAAGAGGCAGGTTGTGGGAAGCTAAAATAAAAGTTTAAGTAACATTTTTTTAGTGATGTACCGCCAGCTTTAATGATTTTGCAGATGGCCTTTAATTTTTGGTACTAAAAAGGAGGCCTATTGTAAATGCTCGTTGCTCTGAGCTGGGGCCAGGGTTCTGTAAATGGCTGCTATGATATTCTGTCCTTGATTGTCTAGATAGCTTCTTCGTACACGAACTAGATTCCGCTGAAGAGCTTTCTTAAGTAACATATGAAGAGGGCGTAGCTCAGATCAATGAGACGCTAGAGTTTTAGTGGTCTCTATTATATTGTAATTGTTGTGCAACCGAGTTTTTTCTGTTTCCGGCTTTGCTGGACGTGGTGCTCCTGTGAGAGGTTTAAGTCTTAACAGTCTCTCTGGAAAAAAATAACCCGCTTCTTTCATTCGGACTTACCTCTTCTGCTACCGGATGCAATAACTATAGCCACGTGTTATACACATGAAAAATATTTTATCGAAACAATGTTCTCTAAGCGTATTAATATTCTATACCTTGTCCTCTGACAGAACAAGATGTAGAAACCAAGGCGAATTACATAACAATTAGGTAACTAAAGCTTGCACAGGTATTGAAAGAATCTATAAATCAGGCATAAAGAAACGATTGATAACCCCTACGGCTGCACATACACTCATCGTCACCTTTGTAGATACAAATTCCTGTCTCCGGCAATTTTAATACAAAAAGGGATTCTCTAGTGGGTTGCGGTGACGTGTTACATAGGTAGTTTCTTCACCCTAAACCGGGGAAGTCAGAGATACTTCGCATCTGCCAAGAAAACAGCACGCAGCAAAGCAGTATATAACGAAGCAGATAAAACTTATAAGGCAAACGAGTTGGAAAGCCGCTGCAAAAGTCACAAAAATAAACTTGTTTAAGCATTAAACAACTCAACCATATCACTTAAAACCTTGGCAAACGTATCAGAAAAACATACTACTTAAGGGGATGTACAGAATGCAATGCGAATCTTTAACTCAATATCTGCAAATTTTAAAAGCACAACATAAAAAGAGACCAGATAGGATTCGCGAGGGACATCGACCTCTTTCAAATGATTAAAGCACTTAAAACAGAAGAAGAAGAGTTGAAAATAGGGGCAAAAATACTAAAGCAGCAAAGGTGAGAATATGGTGGAACAGCGTACGCACGAAATAATGATGTGTCGCAACAAGGAAGCTCAAAACAACTTAACAGCTGGCAAAAACATGATTGATCGATGTACATAACGAGGCTAATTTAGCAGAGGCGACATTTGTATTATGGACCGAGAGGGTCCTTAGACGCACGGGAATTACTCTAAGCAACCTGTCGAGGAAAATGCGGGTATCTCGAGCTAACCTTGGGGAAGACGACGGTCATGCTGTTGAAGAAAGAATTAAACGATAAAATAAATCATAAAGCACGCCAAAAACTAAGTTTACTGCAAGTAAAAAGTATTTTGAAAGATATTAGAGCTCATATCAAATAAAATGAGGCCACAATGCAGCTTCCGGGAAACAAGACCTTTTTCAACAATATATGTTAGTATGCAGGTGCAGAATATGTAATATATAGAATCAATTTGTACAGTAATTCAACCAAATATCAATATTTTTCTAGAATCGAAGCAGATTGCGATACAATTGAGGATCAAGTGAGTGTATAGCTCATGAGGGCCAATGATTTCAGACCAAGGAGAATAGGAGACTGAAGCTGTCCGCTGATTTTGCTATGGGCACTGGTCAAATGGCTGCACCCTCTCAAAGGAAACTGAGCTTGAGGGACGCTACATGCTTCCTGAACGGATGGGTTCAAGCTCCAACAATCAAACAGCCCGCCACGTAGCAAAAGACTGCATGGGGGTGAAAGTGGAAAAAGATGCTACAGGCCTGGTACGCCTTGCGTCGTTAAGGGTTGCGATAAATGCAATATATAAAGCTAGCTCTATGGCCTGACCTATTTACGGTAAGGTATTATGAAACTCGGAAAAAAACGAAATTAATCACAACCACAAGCGATTAGCAAACAAATAAGAAAAAGCAAAAAATAAACAACTAGAGAAACGACTAAAGTTGATGAGGAAGGCTTTATTATTCGGATGCTAACAAACCATCCGATTAACAAAGTGATTAGAATGTAGCAGACAAACCTTCATTGCCGTAGGAAAGCACACGATATGTTAAGGTAATTTCCAGAATACACATAATCCATATTTACTCAGCAAACTCAATAATGCAATGGCAAAAAGATCAGCCAAATGAACGGTTGACAGCAGAGCTAATACCGCGATATGGTGCACTGGATTAAACCACACTACAGTGGTTAGAAGAACAGGTGAGTGAGACAGAGAACTAAGGGGATCCCAGATTTTTCTATAAACGTGTTCATAGAATTTATGATACGTCTGCTGATAGGGGTAGATGGTCATTGAGTGTAAGAGGAACACCTTGGAATTTTAAAACGGTTTCGACGAAGAAGAGTACTAGATACATTTTAACTAAGAAGCGAACACTACAGAACTGGATTATCGATAGACCTACGGCCTCTGCCAGTTATAATCGAGTGAAGGTTGCAGAAAGAGAAGAGATGGGTAGAAAGTACCATAGATTCGTTTTTCTAGGTCTAAAAAGTTATCACTAGGGAAATAACTTGAATCCCAAAAAAAAATGGATATGCATAAGTTAAATCAAGGCCGCCTAAAAGCAAAAATACACAAGTCGCAGACAAACGGGCGTGGATGATGGCGAACGTAGGTGTAAATAAACCTTTGTTGGTCTGTGAGACAGCAGCGCCGGATGTCATTTCCTAGCTGATAGTCAAGCGGTCGGTGCACTGGTGGAATGGAGAGACAACCGAAGCTAGAAAAGAACATATAAACTTACGCCGGCTTTCCATTAGGATACCTACCTGACAAAAACTAAGACAACAGCAAGCAGAGAAAGCAAAACGAAGAATGAGTAAATAAGAGAAAGACTTCAAGGTGACATAGAAAATTTAGAATTCAGGTTCCAGAACGGCCAGATTGAGTGGGCAGATTGAAGAAAGTTACCAGAGATAAATATGATCTTACGTATCAAATCGTGATAGACAAAGCGAAGAGGAAAGCACCAAGGTTCTCAAGGGTCGTGATCGACAAAACCGTTAGCATTGCTTTGCGGAATTCGGAGTAACGGAACTATGTCACGATTCAACGGTATAATAAATATGAGAGAGAAAAGGCTATTCGAAAGCAGAAAGGACTTCTGTAGTGGGAACCCAATGAACCTTAATCCAGATAAGGGTCAGATAACACATAAACATTAAGAAAAACTTAGACTACGTCGCGTAGATTCC